ACTAACACATATATATATATTATAGGTGATCTGGTATACAGGCTGCTTCTAATCACCTGTACACTAACACATATATATATATTATAGGTGATCTGGTATACAGGCTGCTTCTAATCACCTGTACACTGACATATATATATTATAGGCCATCTGGTATACAGGCTGCTTCTAGTCACCTGTACACTGACATATGTATATTATAGGTCATATGGTATACAGGCCGCATCTAATCACCTGTACACTGACATATGTATATTATAGGCCATCTGGTATACAGACTGCTTCTAATAACCTGTACACTAATTTATGTATATTATGGTTCATCTCGTATACAGGCTGCTTCTAATAACCTGTACACTGATTCATGTATATTATAGGTCATCTCGTATACAGGCTGCTTATAATTACCTGTACACTGACACAGCGTCTAGTAGTGGCTGCAAACATATGGTCCAACCTTGAAATCTGTATCCTATGATCGAGACTACTCAGAATGAAGAGATAACGGTCATCTTCTATCGTCGATGATGGTCAGCCTTGTCTAGGTTTCTGAAGAAGTATATCATTAATCTGGAAAGTAGTTCCATATTCTTCTAAAGCCACTGTCGTACACTAAGAACCAATTCACAACAAACAAACTGCTGCAATTAGCCGGTTTCTATTTGTTCGATATCTTTCCAGATGAAACAAAACAGCTTTAAATGTCTTGCCTGAGGTCTAGCAATGGTTGATGAACAATTACAAATAATTAGAACTATGTAATTCAGATCAAAGAGACAATACGGATCATCAAATGTCTGATTTGTATAACAATCAACTGAGCATGCTGACTGGTGATATTTGATAGCAGTGCTTTTTTGTTTTGTCTTAGATATAAATATACAAATTTTGATTATTTTCTAATTTTTTAGCAGTGTATGGTTAATAAACAAATAACGCAACAGTATTATCAATCGTAAGTACTAAACGTACAATTATTATTTTATTTGTTTTCTTCGAACATTTTGTGTAAGTTCACGTTGTTACTTTAATCGACAGAAAGACAAGAGGCCTAGAAACTGACAGACAGACGATCGAACTCTCTCTCGTTAGGTAGATTGTTTATTTTCCTTTATTTCTTACAGAGTTCGCTGATATTTGATTTTTCGAACAATACAATGGAAACCAGTAGTCACGTGCCGGAATCTCCAGGTCAATTCGGTCAAGCGTATCCGAAGATCTTGCACAATGTGGACTTTTGCTGAACATCCAACTAGCCCACAGCAAAATCGATGTAGACGACTAGAAAGCACGCAGAAAGTTGAAAAACAAAATCATTCTGATGATTGAAAAAAAAAAAGACAACAGTGCAGGTTTTATTCTTTAAATATATCAAATGCTCGTAGTATAGAAAACATCAAACTCAGTTTCAAAATTATATATATATATACAATAAATTGGGAAAATAGCTTCTAGACTGGAAGGAGTAGAATGTGAATAAGGTTACCGATTTTGTTTACTTTCTGTCTGCTTATCCAACTAAATCCATTGTGAATAAGATGTGACATTGAATTGTTAAATGGAGATTAAAGCAATCACAATGACCTAAAAGGATTACAACCTTATTTGCCTGTACTGGAATAAAGATATTATTCAGCTTCTGCTAAGAGATAGCTTATTAACATGGACTTGTTACAGAGTTTATACTGTTTCTCATCACCAGGGGTTGATTTAGAATGTTGACAAGGAGTAATGACCAGTTTCCAATCAAGCATCATAGAAATAAATATAGCTTGTAAACATTAATTGAAGCGTGTAGCTCATATAACATATTTTACAAATTTGTTATGCACGAAGGTAGCCGATGACTATGTTTTTGGAGTAAATATAGAAAATAAGGCAGAAATAAAGGTACATAACAGAAGTTTAAGTTTATGAATTCATAAACAGTATAGTTGTACTGACGAGACAGTATAGGGTATAGGGGGAGCTAGTGTTTTCTTTTAAAGCTGGGCGGATTGCGCTAAATGATTTGTTTGTAATTATTTGTAATCAATCACAAATCTACACATTGGGCTATCTGTGCTCTACAGGTATCGAAACCCGGTTTTTAGCGTTGTAAGTCAGCAGGCATACCGCTGTGGCGCTATATGAGTCTTCGTGATCACCGACTTAGATACAATTTTTTCATATATATCTTTAGGTGTATTACATTCTTATGGCTACAGAAATCAGTGGGAAAGTTTTATTATTTAGTAAAAACCTTACAGTAAATGGATTTCGTCTGATGGCAGCGCTAACGAAAAGAGAAATCTAGGAACGTAAAGTTTCGAGAAAATGGGGAAAAAATTGTTACCTAGGGAAAAAAGCAATTTTGCTATCGAACTATTTTCTTTCTTTTACACTCTAGCTAATGAGCTGTCAGAGTTAAGGAAATAAAATCGGCGTCAAATAGACAAGTGAATAAACAACATACATACAGCTGCTGATGCCACATATTAAAGAACCCCTATAGTCCATGCAAGTATTACTCAAATAAGTCCTACTTCATAACAAAGGAAGATGAGTCACTTCCGGCAGTGCTATTATCTAAATCTTAACACTGAAGGGTGGAATCTATATTATTCATATATAATAGAATGAAAACGTTGTTGTTATATTTCTTTTAACTAAAAAAATATATATGTGTACATGAAAATAAGTTTTATGTTCATAAAGTAGATAGCAATGTTTAGGCCAGAAACAAAGGCTAATAACAGCATTATAACAATTTACATTTTTTATTATAAGTTTTTGTGTCATGAGACGATACCCACTACACTTTTCGCAGTAGACTCACGTGGGTTTAATCAGTACACATGTTACTTTTGAATTAGTTTCCTTATGGGTTTATGTGTGGTTCGGTAGAGCAAAAAGAAACGGAATTGTATTTTATGTAGTCTGACCATATCGGATTAAAATCAATAAATGTACACTAATGGTGACAAGGCAACTAAACTTAGCCCTTGCTAAATACAAAGCATATCCTCCAGTACACTTTCATGATGTCAGAAAAAAACACGTAGGTTTAAGAAGTCTTAATAAAAAACGATAAGAAAATAATTATAGGTTTTATATCGTTCTCCATTATAATGTCAGGTAGTGTTTCGAATTCAAGTACGTACAGTTTCAAGAAATGGGGGTGTTATCGGCGAAGACTATTACCAATTCAAGTACGTACAGTTTCAAGAAATGGGGGGGGGGTCGGCGAAGACTATTACCAATTCAAGTACGTACAGTT